GACCGGCCGGTTCACCGGTTCAACCGGTTGAACCGGTCAAACCGGGAACCGGACCTGAAAACGGTTCATTGACCGGTCCGGTTTTGAAAACATTGCTTGAAACTATTGCCTCAGAAGCGTTCATACTCCTTAGTATTGAGCTTGCACTATATGGATGTCTGCTATTCACTCCCTTTAGACTCTCAACTAAGGATGGCAATTTTCTCCACGACCCACAGAAATTAACAGAGATCCCCACCACGGGGATAAAGATTCTCAAAATATTCTTTTCTGTGGGACGGAGATGGAGGTAAATTTTTACCCTTAAAATTTCGTGGGGAATATTTCCCCCTGTGGAAAACCGTGAGATCTATATAAAATAAAATAAAAAATTTTTATATAGATATTTTTTATATATATATTAGTAATTAATTTTTACTTATCCAACCTAATTAGCTAACACAATACCAATACAACTTAAATTTCACAACCCATTCTTTTTTCAGTTTTTCCAAATCCAATTGTCCAGTCCAACCCATTCCTTTTGTCAATCTAGTCTTCCAAACCTAATTGTCCAGCTCAATTTGCATCGATAACCTAGTACGACTATTGAAAGTTTTCAGATTTGAGATTCCTCCTCTCCTCCACGCTGTAACTTTGTTTTTGTTCCTCAATCCTCATCTATGATTCCCTTCAAGCTCTCACCGTCACTACCCATTGCGCAACACTAATCTTCTCCCATCTCTCACTCACACTCAACAGCTCTTCTGCAATCTCTCAACTAGCCACCAACAGCTCATCTCACTCTCGACATCCCTTGTTATTACCATTGAAAATGACAATTGTTGGTTGTTAGCCTGAGTTGACTTGCCTCCACTCACGGCTCACCTCTAGCTCTGAGGCTCTAACTCTAGGTTGTCTTCCTTGTCGAAGTTTACGCTTTTTTGTTTTTATGAACCTTTTGCTAGGCTTATACAACAGTTTATGCCTTTTTTTGGACTTATACAACTGTTTATGCCTTTTTTTTCTTTATGAACTTGTTGTAGACTTGTCGAACTTAATTGATATGTATACATTGGCGGTGTATATTTACTACTTGTTTGTCTTGTTTCAAATTTTTACTTTATATGATTATTTGAGCTAATTTTATTTGATGAATGTGGAAACCAATGAAATTTAAGCAGACCCATGTTGAACTTAATTTTGATTAACAAGCAGTAAAGCAAGTGATAGTTTTATTTGACGGGAATTCCAAATACCCGCGGGACCCCTTCCCCTATCCCCATCTCCATTCTCGCCAATGGTGGGTATGGGCAATGTTTTCAAACCCGAACCGGAGGTCAAACCGTTTTGGCCTCCGGTTCGCGGTTTGAACGGTTCAACCGGTTTAACCGGTAAAACCGCTGGCTTAATGAAATACTATAAATACATGATTTTGCAAAAGATATCACACGGTGTGGGTGGGTTGCACTGGTAGATGGCTGACCTTATATAAGGGAGATTCGGAGTTCAAGTCCCCCTAATAACAAATTTTAATATAATTGTGCTTCAAAGTAGAATAAGTATATTGTAAAGCATTAAAATGACAAAAGAACATTGTGTACAAGTGGAAAAACCGTTGTTCTACAACATGGAGACCAAGTGTTCGAACCTCAAGCTTGTAATCAGTAATAAGGTTAAAGTCTTTGGGATTCTATGGGTTAAATAAAAGTCCAAGCACTCATTGACTAAACCATTACATTGTCCTGGTGGCAAAAGGTCAACTCAAAAACTCTAAGGTTGCAAGTTCAAATCCCGGTGGACACAAATTTCTCAAGATTTTATGCCCAAACATTGAACCGTCCGGTTGAACGGTTTGAGCGGTTTCAAAACGGTTCACCGGTTCGAACGGTTTCAAACGGTTTAACCATTTAAACGGTTCAAAAAGTATAACCGAACCGTTTAGATCACCGAGTACCGGTTTAACCGGTCCGACCGTCCAATCCGGTCCGGTTTTCAAAACCTTGGGTATGGGGATCTTCACGAAGATTTTTGACTAAGGTTCAAAAGTAGCTTTCGTCTCCATACCCGTGGAAATCGTTGTCATTCTTAATTAAGATTAGAAAATTAAAAAATAATTAAAATTTTATGGGATTAAAGAGAATTAAGACATTTTGATACTTAAAATATTAGGAATAATAATTAAAAAAATTAAAATATCCCTAATAAATTAACACATACAAAAAAATTTTTAAAGGCGTTTAAATAATTACATAGAAGATTTCAATATTTATTATGTTGGATAACTCTTCTACCATCGCTTGATTTTAATTTTCTTTGTTAAATTTAATTTCAAATTGTAATCTTATTTAAAAATTTTAATATTTTCTTCTTTAAATTAAAATAATGCTTACCTATTTATCCTCCATTATTAGTCAACAATTAAAAACTAGACTAGATAACTTCAAATTAAAATTATTGTTTTATCTACAAGATAAACAAAATTAAAAAATCATACTTAAATTAAATTTGAATCTTATATAACAAAAACTCTTTTGAACATTTATTTGAAATTCAAACTTCTTCTTTTAAATTTTTAATTTAAATTCACAATTAATTTCATTGTATTAACTTTTTAAATTTCAAATTAATATATCAATACTCCCATAACTGTCATTTTTTTTTTACTCTTTTTTTTGTCAATTAAGAATTTAAGGATAATTTTTAATTTAAATTTACAATTAATTTCATTATATTATCTTTTTAAATTTCAAATGAATAAATCAATACTCCTATAACTGTCATTTTTTTTATTTTTTTAATTAAGAATTTGAGAATAATATTTGTATATAACATTTATCTATAATATCTTTTAAAATAAAAATGAAGAGATTTTTTAAGATTAGATAATTAATTAAAGTAAATAGATAAAGATAAATTTAAAATAAAAACAATAATTATTTAAAATAAAAGGAATAAAGCTTATACCGAATAATAAAACTTGTTATTTTTACCAAACAAAGTGTAATCTAGGGATGGCAATTCTTCCCGTTTCTCGCAGGGCCCCATAGGGATCCTGCCACGGGATGGGGTAGGGGGAACATTTCTCCTCGCGGGGTAAGGATGGGGATCATTTTCCCTTTGTGAAATTTCGCGAAAAATTTTTCTCACCCCGTGGAGCACTGCAAGAATCCTCATCCCAAAAAAAATATTTTTTTTATTTTAAAATTAATTTATTCTTTAAACTCAAATCCAAACTCAAATTTAAACCCAAACCCAAACCCAAACTCAAATACAGACCTAAATCCAATCTAAGTACAATTAAACCTAACTCAATACTATTCAACCCAAACCAACTCCCAACCCAACCCATTCCTTATATTTAAGGTTATATCCCCGATTCAGTCCCTCAACTTTCATTTTTGGACTAAAACTATCCTC